CCCCTCCAACACCAGCGGCACCCCCAGAAGCCGCAGGACGAACACCCTCCTCCACACCAGCACCCCCAGGGGCCAAGAGCGGCGGCGGCAGGGGCTGCGACGGCTGCGGCGGCGGCGACAGCGGCGACGGCTTCGGCAGCGACGGCGACGGCGGCGGCAGCGGGGTCGGCGACTGCGACAGTGGGGGCGGAGGCACCAGGGAAGGGGGACGCGGCAAGGACGGACCGGGGGTACCACCAGAGTCAGCAGACTCCTCAACGGGGACAACCGACGGGAGGGGAGTGACGTGAGAGACACCAGACGGGGCAGGACGAGGCGGGAGAGGGGCAGGGGCTACTGGGGGAGAGGGAGCAAGGAACAGGGGGGGGGCAACTGGGAGACCTCGGTGAGGGAAGCAGCGGTAGAAGGAGACGGACTCGTCAAAGGTGACGTCACGAGAGTGCAGGAAGCGGTGAGACGGCGGGTGATAGAAGAGCCAGTCAGACGAGTCCAGGGGGAAACCGAGGAAGACACAGGGGACAGTGCGGGCAGTGAGCTTGTCTGTGCCAGAGGCACGAACGTGAGCAAGGCAGCCCCAGACGTGGAACGCAGACGCGTCACCGGGGGACCCGGTCCAAAGGAGGGTCGGCAAAACCTGCGGCCGCTGGGAGCGTGGCCACAGGTTAAGCTGGTGAGCAGCGTAGCGAACAGCGAACGGCCACAGAAAATGGGGGGCATCGGCATGGATCATGGATGTACGGGCGACCTCCATGACCAAGCCGATGCGGCGCTCAGCAACCCCATTCTGCTGTGGGGAGTCCGGCAATGTGTACGACTGGGTGATGCCCTCCGCACGACAGAACTGTCCAAGCCGACCAGAGGCGAACTCGCCGCCACGGTCGGAGTGGAGACACAACACGGGGAGACCGCGGTGGAGACGCGCAGCCACAACCCACGGGAGAAGAACGTCGGGCACCTCGGCCTTCCGCTCCAGGGGAAACACCGTGGTGTAGCGCGTGTAGTCGTCGACGAGCACAAGGAAGTAGCGCTCACCGCGCGGTCCGGGGACGGGGGCAGGGCCCCAAACGTCCAGGTGCAGGGTCTGAAGGGGGGCAGTAGCAGGACGCAGCGAGGAGGAGTGAGGAGCACGGCGGAGCCGACCCTCGACGCAAGGCGTGCACGGTGGCGCAGTTGAGGGTGGGAGGGCAGGGAGCGACGCGGGGAGGCCTAAGACAAGACCGTGCTGAGACATGTGACGCAGACGTGGGAGAGCAGGGTGACCTAAGCGGTGGTGCCAGAGAAGGGAGGGGTGAGTGAGGGACCGACACGAGCAAGCTGCAGCGACTTGGGAGGACGCACCAACCGGGGGGGAAGCGATGTGTAGGGTAAACAGACCAGACACCGGGTCCCGGGGGAACGTCGCAAGAGGGGAACCTGAGACTGCCTCGGTACAGACAGCGAACCGCTCGTGCCCAGGGAACGTGGTGGTGACGCCGAGGTCCTGAAGACGGCCGACACCAACCAGGTTCCTGGAGAACGAGGGAACGTGGAAGCCTGAAAGAGAGCCCGAGGGAACGGCTGGACAGGGAAGGGAAGTGGAACTGCGAGCGACGACAGGACCGGCAGAGGGGTCAGCGAGGGAGACAACCGCAGGTGCAGCAAGCGGCGTGAGCGTGGACCGGTCACGGAAGAAACAGGCAGAAGCACCGGAGTCGAGCGTGAAGGACAGCGAGGCAGTGGCAGAGGCCGGGGACGGGGCGGGTGCAGAAGCTAGGCTAGGCAACCTAGGCAGTCCTACGCCTGACGCAGCAGGGGAAGCTAAGCTACACAAGGGTGAAACACCTAAACTTGAGTACACAGGGTAGTAAGATCCAGCAACACTAGAAGCGTCAGCATACAAAGCATGCAAAGCAGCACCTATCTGATCCGTGTCTAACTCAAAGATCGGCACGCCCTGGCGGAGCAGGCTGTGCCAGTCAGTGAGGTCCGGGGCCGGGCCAAAGCGACGACGAAAAAGATCGTCGAGGCGGCGGAAACAGCGGGCGGTCGGGTGCGGGCGGCGGCACAGAGTGCCGCGGAGAGGCCCTGTCTGAAGCTGGTACTGGCAGGTCACAGCACTGGAGCCGCTGGTAGACGCCAAGCTGCGCGGGCCGCCACCACGGCCACCGCCTCCGGAGGTGCCGGGCCAACCAGGCGGGAGACGAGCCCACGGCTGCGGCGGGTGCTGCTGGGACGGCGGCTGCGGCTGGGGCTGGTCCTGCTGCTGCTGGGGCTGCTGCTCCTGCCCACCGGTGGTAGTCCCCTCAGGCGGACTACCGTCACCACCACCACGACCACCACCACCTGCGTCACCACCCCTACCTCCCTGGCGGCCACGGCCACCGCGACGCGAGCGCTGCTGCGGGTGGACAGCAGCAGCCGTCTCGGTAAGACGGGTCGCCGTGGCGACCGCAGCCGAAACGTCAGTGAACGTGCACTGGGATGGGGCACAGCCGTGAAAGATAGAGACTGCCGGCGCACCGCTCGACTGAGCGATAGTGCGCTGGCGAGTCTCGATCTCAGTGAGGGTGTCGACAAAGGCGGTCAGGGTGAGGTCACCCGGGTGCTGGCTAAGAAAGTGGTCGCGAGCACTAGCGAGGCGGTCTGGCAGGCGCATAGCGATAAAATAGAGCGTCATGCAGAAAGGAGGGGGGAGCGCAGTTAGCTGGGCAGCAGTGCTGGCAGTGCGATAGCGAGTCTCTAGGGCACGCAAATGAGTGGCAAAGTCTGCGACAGTAGGGAAGGCAGCAAGGTCTGGGAACAGCATCGGAAAGAGCAAGCGGCCAGCAGAAGCGGAGGCAGGGGTGGAATAGCGAGCAATAACGGCGTCTAAATAAGCTTTGGCCGTTTCAACAGTAGCAAAACGCGAGCGCTCAGACACAGGGAGGGCGTGACTAATAGCAACCTGAGCTACTGCATCGCGTGAGTCCCAGACCGCACAGGCCAGCGCAGCAGTAGAGAAAGCCTCACGGTCATCAGAGGAGGGGTCAGCAGGGAGGGGAGTAGGTGCAGGGGGGCGGGGGAGCAAGCCATCAGCATGGACAACCAGAGAGTGGCCATCCTGACGCTGACCTGTAAGCCGGCGGCGGAGATCGGAGAGCCAGGCGGCGAAGTCAACCGCGTGGCCCTCAGCGTCCAGGCGGAGCACAAAGTCAGCCATCGTGCAGGGTCAGCGGCACAGCTCCTCAGCGACACAGCGGCACAGCTCCTCAGCGGCACAGGAGCACAGCGGCGCGGGGACACGGCGGCAGCACTCTCCAGAAGGGCAGCAGCTAGGCGTCCCAGCTCAGGCGAGCAGAAGACACAGGGCCCGAGAGGACACGGCAGGCCGAGCAGGGGAGGCGGGCAGGTGCTCTGGGGCCGGGCTGGTGCTGGGAGGGGCCAGGCTGGTGCTGCTGGGGCCGGTCGGGCACGAGGAGGGGTCGGGCAGCGCTGAGGAGAGGCCGGGCGGCGCTAGGAAGGGGGACGGGCGGCACTAGGAGGAGGCCGAGCGGCACTAGGAGGAGGCCAGGCGGGCGAGCGCTAACAGCAGGCGCGACAGGGGCCAGCGGGCGCGACGAGGCCTAAGGGGCGCGACGGGGCCCAGCGGGCACGACGGGGCCCACGGGGGGCGCGACGGGGCCGAGGAGGCGCGACGGGGACCAGCGGGCACGATGGGGCCCAGGGGGGCCGCGACGGGGCCTAACGGGCGCGACGGGGCCCAGGGGGGGCGCGACGGGTTCTAGCAGGCGTGACGGGGCCTAGGAAGCGCGAAGGGGCCCAGCGGGCGCGACGGGGCCTAGGAGGCGCAACAGGGCCCAGCGGGCGCGACGGTGCCCAGAGGGGGCGCGACGGGGCCTAGGAAGCGCGACGGGGCCCAGCGGGCACGACAGGGCCTAGGAGGGGCGCGACGGGGCCGAACGGGCGCGACGGGGCTTAGGAGGCGCGACGATGCCTAGGGGGCACGACGGGGCTCAGCGGTCTCGACGGGGCCCATGGGGGGCGCGACGGGGCCTAGGAGGCGCGACGGGGCCCAGCGGGGGCGCGTTAGGGCCTAGGGGTCGCGACGGGGCCCAGCGGGCGCGACGGGGCCCAGGGGGAGCGCGACGGGGCCTAGGAGGCGCGACGGGGCCCAGCGGGCACGACGGGGCCCAGGGGGGGCGCGACGGGGCCTAACGAGCGCGACGGGGCCCAGGGGGGGCGCGACGGGGCCTAGGGGGCGCGACGGGGCCTAGGAGGCGCGACGGGCGGAAGCGGTAGGCGGGGGGATCCTAACCTACTCTGGATACCATGTTAACGTAGAAACGAATAATGACTAGAAGTGGAAACCTAGAACAAATACTAGTTGGTTGTACTCACTAGAAGCATACCTCAGTCTAGCCTATAACTTCTACATAGATAATATGTATAAGTTGACAGGGGGGTCCAACTTGAAAGGGCCCAGAAGTTCGTCGTAGCGACTAAGGGACAAACTGGTTGGGGCAGAGGGGTTCACTGTCGAGACATGCGAGCAGGGGAAACTGCGCGAGCATGAGCAGTTACTTGATTGGTTGGCGATAAACCGCGTTTCGTTTGGTGGGAAACGTGGCATGAGCAGCACTTGGCGCGAACAAAATCAAGTCGCAAACAGCGCGCGACCAGTCGCCCAGTCCCCACTGCCCGCAAGATGAACCAAGTGGGCCCAACTTGAATTTCAAGTTGGACCTGGGTTCACTACGCCTGCTAAACCAAGGCTGGTTGCCGATTGGTCGAAATTATTGTCTACGCATGCCAGTGGCTGTGCGATCTGTCACGATAAAATTCCCGTCGCAGGTGCAATTTGATTTCGTGGCCCAAGACAAGCAAAAAAATCCGGGCTGCTGCCCGACGCGAAGTAAAACATTCGCTCAAGGGTCGTTTCTAGTTGGGCCCAACTAGAAAGAGGGGTCACTATTTTAACCTCTCGCTATAGGCCCTAATAATTACCTTCCGCTATTATGTCCACCAGAATGAAATTTCGTGAATTTTTAGCAAGACCTAGGGTGATCATGCCGGGAGATTACGGGTATGTACACTCCACCAAGGGCTTCATTCAAATGTCACAGCTATATTCACATCTGCATTCATCTCACTATTTCTGTCGCTCTATCCATCATCTGGCAGATATAATACTGCATGTAGAGAATGTCAGAAGCATGAGCCATATGATACCGTAATGAGCTCCATGCATCCGCGTGCTCACGACTCCTGACCACTGCCTCCACCAGCAGGCTTGCTGAGTCCGCGGAGCTTCATGGCAGCCCGCACATACACCCACTTCTTCTTCCCCTGCAGCACGGGGTACGGCATCATGGGCATCTGCACCGCCTCCTCCTGCACCTCCAGCTCTTTGCGAATCAACTCCGCCCGCTCCTCCTCTCCCAGCTCCAAACCCTCACTCCCCACACCCCCCACACTCCCCGAACTCCACACACCCCGCAAACTCCCCGCACTCGCCACTGCAGCTACTGCATCAGCGGCTGCCACTGCTGCTCCTCCTGCTGCTGCTGGTGCGACGGAGCCGAAGGACGAGGCGGTGAGGTGGGCGAGGTGCGCGGCGCGCTTGCGCACGGTCTGCTGCACAAACTCCACAAAGAACTGGGGGAAGTCCGGGATGCGCTCGTACCCGGGCATGTAGTTGATGTCCACCACGAAGTACCTGCACGGGGTGGTTGTAAGAGACGCCGGGTGAATACAGGCGTAACAGCAAACGCAGAGTTACATCTTGAGGCCCCCCTCAACGATGGACGTCCGGGATGCGCTCGTACCCCAGCATACTTTGATGTCCACCAAGAAGTACCTGAACACGTACAAGCAGATGCACACATGCCAAAAAGGAATGATGAGCAAGAAAAAGCCGGAGATGACCCACGTGCCATCACAATTCGCGCTAACCTGGTAGTTAGCCCGGCTCACAACCAAGAAAGCCCAACCACATGCCAAGTCATGACATGACGGTTCCTTCCCCCATCTCTTCCCTGGCCGGCCCCTGACCTGTCGTCGTGGCCGCCTTGTCAAAGGATGTCCACATTGAATGCGTGCAGGCGCACAGGTGCTTCTGCGCAGTAACGTCTCACGTAAGATCCCATCACACACATCCCTCCCTCCCCCACCCTCTCCTCCCTGGGCGCTGGGCGGACTGACCTGTCGTCGTGGCCGCCTTGTCGGAGGATGTCAACGTTGAATGCGTGCAGGCGCAGGTGCTGCCGCAGGGTCGCTCCCAGGTCGTGCATGAGGGCGGGCGGGGGGTCCGTCACGCGAGAGTCACGCAGCTCCTCCTCGCTCAGGTGCACGTTGGAGATGCGGTTGAACTCCACTATGCCCACGCCCTGCACGCGCATATTCATGTGATAGAGTGAGAAAAGGGGAGAGAAAAGAGATGAAACGAATGGCCTCGGCTCCTCCTCGCTCGGCTCCTCCTTGCTCAGGTGCATGTTGGAGATGCGGTTGAACTCCACTGTGGTAATCGACAAGCCATGGGAAACTATCCTGGCCCCTACCACCTACCCACTGCCACCTACCCACTGCCACCTACCCACTGCCACCTACCCACTGCCACGCCACCTACCCACTGCCACCTACCCACCTACCCACTGCCACCTACCCACCTACCCACTGCCACCTACCCACTGCCACCTACCCACCTACCCACTGCCACCTACCCACTGCCACGCCACCTACCCACTGCCACCTACCCACTGCCACGCCACCTACCCACGCCACCTACCCACTGCCACCTACCCACTGCCACGCCACCTACCCACTGCCACGCCACCTACCCACTTCCACCTACCCACTTCCACCTACCCACTTCCACCTACCCACAGCCACCTACCCGCTTCCACCTACCCGCTTCCACCTACCCGCTTCCACCTACCCGCTTCCACCTACCGGCTTCCACCTACCGGCTTCCACCTACCGGCTTCCCCCTACCGGCTTCCCCCTACCGGCTTCCCCCTACCCGCTTCCCCCTACCCGCTTCCCCCTACCCGCTGCCCCCTACCCGCTGCCCCCTACCCGCTGCCCCCTACCCGCTGCCCCCTACCCGCTGCCCCCTACCCGCTGCCCCCTACCCGCTGCCCCCTACCCGCTGCCCCCTACCCGCTGCCCCCTGCCGCCTACCCGCTGCCCCCTACCCGCTGCCCCCTGCCGCCTACCCGCTGCCCCCTGCCCGCTGCCCGCTGCCCGCTGCCCGCTGCCCGCTGCCCGCTGCCCGCTGCCCCCTGCCCCCTGCCCCCTGCCCCCAGCCCCCTGCCCCTGCCCCCAGCCCTCCTCCCCCTTCCCCCTTTCCCCTGCCCCAGCTCGCACTGACCCTGCGTAGAGAGTCCCATTTGCCCTGTGAGGGGCTAGGCGGAACCTCGGGGGCCACATCCGCAGCGGCATCAGCATCCGCATCAGCATCCGCAGCGGGCGCCCACTGGTCGCGCGGGGGGATGTCGGGCAGGGACTGGCGGCGGAAGGCCATGATCTTGTCGCCGAGCACGTAGAGCTTGAAGAGGATGCCGCCGTGGTTGACGAACTCCTGCAGCAGCACGGGCGCTTGCAGCTGCAGCAGCGCGCGCTCGTCCAGCACTAGCCCCAGAGTGTGCGAGCTCGTCGTGCCGTTCGCCTCCAGGGGCTTCGCCACGGCTGGCAGGGAGAAGCCCGCGTCTGCAGGGACGGGGCGTGGGGAGGGGGAGGGGGAGAGGCAGGGGTGGTGAGGGGAGGGGTTGGGGGTGGGTGGGGGGTGGGTGGGGGGTGGGTAGGTTGGGCAAGCAACACACAGAGTCAGGTGGCCAATCACATGGGGGCAGGTTGTTCTTTTCCCCATTCCTGAACTTTCCTTAATCCTCCGTCTTAAAGGATCGTTCTACAGCAGTTGAATGGGCGCGGGGAGCAGCAGCACGGCAGACGGTGCTGATGAGACTCCTCCGCTGTTCCCAGCTCAACTGCCGCCTCTCCCCTCTCACCTTGCAGTATCTGCGGCACGTCCTCTGGCGCCCCTTCTAGAGGCGATTCTGAAACAGCTTTTCAGCCCACTCAAGTAGTGCCTTGAGGCGATTCTAAAACAGTTTTTTAGGCGATTCAAAAGCAGATTTCTTTCCTCCACTATTCCCAGCTGAACTGAACTTCTCGGCCTCTCCCCTCCTCTCCCCACCTCTGCTCTCCCCGCTCACCTTGCAGTATCTGCGCCACGTCCTCGGGCGGCGTGCCGCGCTCCACGATGATCTGCTTCGGCACGTCCACCTGCGCGCCGTGCTCGGACGCGTCCACGTGCGCGACGGCCTCCAGCATCTCGCGGCGGTCGTCCAGCTTGTGCACGCTCTCGTACTCGTCGATCACCACCACCTCCGGGTGCGCTCGCTCGTACGCGCCCAGATTCGCCGCCCACTCCTCGCCCTGACAGCCGTTGGGAGACGACGCGGGAGGGGGAGGGGGTAGGGGGAGGGGGAGGGGGGTGAGGGGGGAGGAGGAAAGAAGAGATGGGGGGGTGAGGGGCGGAATAGAGGAGAGCGCGTGAGGCAGCGCAACGAGAAACGGGAGGGAATAGGCGGAGATTTGAGTGGGGTACAGCGATTGGCGGGGAGACGGGGGAGGAAGGTGAAGGGACGCCATCCGTCGAGAGAAAGGCAACCATGCCGTTATGATCGCTGAAATCCCTCATCTGGCGTGGCTGTTTGACTCCTGTATTCCCCTCGATCGTGGTTGGATGTCCATTCGGCCTTCACAAGTGTAAGTTAGCAAGTGTAACACGAATAGCTGTTAATAACTCTCAGTACCATTCATCTCGTAAGTTCTCTTGATCTTTGTAAGAGGAAGCTTGCAGGAAGATACCGCCGGCGTCAAGAGCAGCACACACGTCGAGCAGACAAAAACACGCGCACACATTAGCCTCTCACCTCGAGCTTGTGCAGGACCATGTTGAACGGCCCCTGATCAACCAACGGACGGCTGGGATCGATCGCCACGAACTCCACCCCGCAGGCTTGCGCGTGCGCTAGCAGCTCGGGCTGAATGAAGCTCGCTACTCTCTTGGGCCGCAGCGCGTACCCCACCACGATCCGCTCGCCCACCGTCGCGCCATTCTGGGCAGCAATCTCCTCTGACATATTATTTCGTTGTTTTCTTGTTCGTTGTACAAAGCTGGTTCCGTCGTATAAATGGACTAGTGAGTATGTGAGTGGCTGCGTTTCGGTGCTTTGGAATGTATCGTCCGTGCGACACTCAGTGAGAGGAGGCGAAGATGTAAAGAATGAGTTCAGCTGATACAGGTGTGTAACTATCAGAGGCTTGAGGTGATGAACCAAAACATTCAGAGGATATGGAAACTGGCCCAAATTGGAGGAACTCCATTGGCACACTTTCCCAGTGAGCCAGCAGCACCTGCCACCAAGCCTCGTCGACACCGGAAACTTCAGCGAGGCAGGCAGCGCAGTGGAGCGCGGGAAATCCCTGGGGACCTCCCACCCAATCCCAGGGGGGCTTGTGGTAACCAGAGAAGCCGAGGGTGGTGCTGCGGGGCTGCAGTCCCACCTTCTTTCGCACGGCACGTGTCGTGCCTCGGGCTGCTTCCTCCCTCCAGTGCGTCTTTTGCTACACCTCGGCTCGGCAGCACGATTGGAGGGATCATACGATGCGACTCCTGCGCGGTGGCGAGCGGTGTAACGCGAGGGCTTTGGGGAATAAACGATGTTTTGAAGGGATCGCGACGCGCCGAACGATAATTCTGAAGTGAGCTGGACGTGACGACACCTCCTGGAAGGGAGTCTGATTAGGCTGCGCCAACGTGGACTATTCTCGCTAAGGGCGTGTCGCGCGCGTACGTTAACTTGCGCGTACCCTACCCAACCGTCTCAAAACGTTGTTTGCACATTTGGAAGCAAAGAGCAAAATATCCAAAACCTCGTGTCTTCTCACAATTCAGTCACGTCCCCTGCGCGAAATCACCCCTCGACATTTTCTACTGTTGTGTCTCACGCTCGCGTCGATTGGTAACATGTGTCGCGATTGTCGTAGTGAGTCCTCAGGCGGCCGGGAGTTGGTTGTCAGGAGCGCGCGGGGTGGCGACAATGGCGGGACGTGCCATGAAGCTGCAGGGTGAACTCTAGTTGTGTCGCGGGTGTATCGGCGTTTCCGGCAAGCTAGTTACAGGCGATGGAGGGGACTTTATAAACTGTTTCGGCAATGGGCGGATCCGACAAATTAGGCACGACACGATCGCATGAGGCATGTGTGGGTGTGCAATTGAATGGGAGCACCTGTGATTAATGACCTCGGCGCTATTCACATGCGACAACCATCTAGAGGTGATGACGCTGTGTTGGAGGAAGTGTACTCAGCGATGGCGATTTCCTACGTAGGGAGGCGTTTTCGTGGACCAACGATTCATACCCCCACGATCAATGGAAACGGAGGCCACCACCCTCGGGTACGTATTAAGCGTTTTTCACCAGGTCGCGTAAAGCGTTAACTGCCTAGAGCTGAAGCAGTGGAAGAAGAACGACGGGAGTACCAGAGCTTAGTTATGGGTTAGCGGCATTTGGCTGTTGCTCGCTCAGCTACGTCGCCCGAATATCACCAACCCCACCAGGGAGCACCGTCAACTTATTAATCGACGGCTTTTGGACGAATAAATGGGGTGAACCTGCAAACTGTATTGTATTGATGGACTGTTCCCGAATCTTGAAGAACAACTGTAGCACCGGAGCAATAAAATTTATCGAGTGCAGAAGAGTTTTCGAAGTTTTCGAGTATAGGTCGACGAGTTTTCGACGGAGGATGGAGCTGTCCAGCGGTCAGTAGGCGAGCTCGTTAAAGCTTCTCTGATCAGAAGCGTATGCACTCCTATCTCTGCAGATTCTCATGCAACACTCACTTAGTTGAGCGTGCAGCAGGGAAGCCGATTTGGGGTAACCTGCAGCAGAGACGAGATGGGTGTGTTGAGAATAGCCCTGATCATGCGAAGGTTGCAGAAGTCTACAGAAGCGGCATATCAAGGAATTCTGCAAACACGAGCTCTGCAGAAAGGCCCATCGACGAAGAGAAGATTTGTCGACAAGGCGAGGTTCTACGGGAAGTGGCATAAGAGCAGTTTTCGTTGGTGGCAGAAAAACGGTTCTATCAGAGTGGTAGAACAGGAGCGATTTTTCTGCAGATGGCTTCTATAGACTTCTGTGCTTTTGTAGAAGCGGTCCTGGAAGAAACGAGAGTGTACAAGATCCTCTGCGGAATCGGCACCAGGGGCCATTCGCAAAAGGGTTGTCCTCTGCAGAAGTATCGCGCAGAAGACATTTCTGCGGGTGACCCTTTCGGCAGAAGCGACTCTCGGAAATGCGTTCCAACAGGACCTCGGGCAGAGTGGCGCAAGAACCTGTTCGCGCAGAATTGCGTTCTGCCGAAGTTCGGCAGAAAGGCAATTCGGCTCTCTTCTGTGACGACCCCCTCGGCAGAAACAAAATTCGGCAGAAGTGCAGCAGAGAGTCATCTCGGACTTCACTTCTGCAAGCGACCCCTTCGACAGAAAAACGAGGACTTGAACACGTGACGCACATTTCGTAACTGCAGAATTGTGCGTAACATCTGACAGTTTCATATCTGAAACTGTTAGAATAACTACTTCTAAGTGGGTAAAATTTACCAACTAAGCATGTGCTGTAATTTTCACCTGCCATTGCTGACTTGGCTAAGCGCAGCTTAGAGTAGTTATGTATAACAGAAAGAATGAATGACTAGAGTGGTGAGATATAAGGCAATATAGTCTAGAGTGTTGTACCCACTAAGGCACAAACATATATAGTCTACAGTAACTGCATAAGCTATGTTTGACACACCCCATAGACTATATAGGGGCAGTGCCTAACAAGGGAAAAAGCAGCTCAGGGCGGCACTACTAGTCCAGCCTCTGAGACATGGGTCTAAAGACCAGTCAAAGGAATACAGACAAGGCAAGAGCAAGACCAAGGCGGCACTATTAGTCCAGCCACTGGGAGAGGCCACAAGGCCAGTCAGGGTTAATATATATATATACATATATATATGAAGGACAGTACAAGGTCAAGACCCTAGCAAGTGAGAGGCTACAGGAACGAGACCTAGCTGTACATAGTGCCGCTGATGATCTTTAGGCACAAGCGCCTTCGTAAAGATATCAGTGAAGGCCAAGTGTACTACGAGCGCCTGGCGGCGCTGCTGGAGCTCACACAGGAGGAAGTACCGCAGCTGGATGTGCTTCGCCCTGCCCTCGAGTCGAGGCTCCTTACACAGGAGGATCATTGCTCTGTTGCCAGCGTACTGGACTTGGGCAGAGCTAGGCCGCTCACCTAAGTCAGTGAGCAAGAAGGTCAGCCAGCGAAGCTTCTGTGCCGCCATGGCACCGGCGTAGATCTCGGCCTCACAGCTGGACTGGGCAACAGACGACGATCGGGTAGCTCTCTACGAGACGGCACCTGAACCAAGGCTGAAGCAATAGCCCTGCGAGGACCTAAGGGTCTCGTCGTCGTTTGCCCAAGAAGCGTCTGTGTGTCCAGTAAGGACCATTGGCCTGCGTCCTCCGAGCACTAACCCCATGCCCGATGTACTAGCAAGATAACGCAAAACCTTCTTAGCGGCAGACCAGTGCTGAGGTCGGTGTCAGCATGTAGCAACAAAGCGAGCCAGGATGCTGAGAGGGTATGCGAGATCTGGGCGAGTGCAAGTCATCAGGTACATGAGGCAACCCACCAGCTCTGCGTAAGGACCACTAGGCTCTGCAGACTCCTCAGGAAATGGAGCAGAGAGCCTGTGATCTAGGGGCAAAGGAGTGGGCTGTGCGGAGGTGAACTGAAGGCCGAACCTCTGAAGGACCTGGCGCACCAAGTGTGACTGAGTCAAAGTGATAGTGCGCGCTGCTCTGTCCCTGGAGATCTGCAAGCCAAGGTATTGGCGCAGTTCTCCAAGGTCAGTGCAGGTGTGTCTCTTGCGCCGCTCTGCCTTCACCGAGGCCAGTGCGTCCCTGTCTGCAGTGGCGAAGATCAGGTCGTCTACGTAAACAAGGATGTAGAACGGGGTCTGGCCAGCACGAACGAAGAGTGAGGGGTCTGCAGAGGACGGAAAGAACTGCAGGTCAGCAAGCGTAGCACGCAGCGTGTCGTGCCACTCATGGGGAGCTTGCCCCAGGCCGTAGACGGGGCGCCGCAGAAGCCACTGGGTCCCAGGAGAGAAGGTGCCAGTGAAGCCCAGAGGGCGGCGCAGGTAGACCTGCTCGTGTAGACTGCCCTGAAGAAATGCAATAGAGAAGTCGAGGGAGTGAAGCTCGTAGTCACGCTGAGCTGCTACGTGTAGTAGAACCCGAAGAGTAGTCATCTTCGGGGTCGGAGCGAAGGTCTGGAAGAAGTCCACCCCCTCACGCTGACTGAAACCTCTAGCCACGTAGCGCGCCTTGAACACAGGCGGCTCTCCAGGAGGGCGCTTCACCTTTAAGAGCCCGCGGCCATCGACTACGTTCACCCTAGGTGGGGGAACTACGTCCATGTAGGTGCCACTGGATCTCCAAGATGTCATCTCCTGGTCCATGGCAGCTATCCATTGAAAGGCCCAGGGTCCCAAGACCGCCTCAGCGTAAGTGCGAGGGGTTGGGATTTCGAAAGCGTCGGGGTCACCCTCAGGGACTAGAAGCATAGAGCAGAGATGGGGAGCAGCCTCGGATAGGAAAACAAGCTCGTACAAGCGGTCCTCCAGGACGTCACTGCCGAGGGCAGGAGAACCCCCGACAGACGGAGGACAGGCAGGGTCAGAGACCAGAGCAGTGGCGTAGTCAAGACGAAGTCTGCCACCGCAGCGACAAGGGCGTCAAGACTCGAAACTGGAACAGACGGGTCAGTAACGAGGGAGGCAAGGACCCGAGGAACAAGAGGACGAGCGGCACGCAGGTAGTCAAACAGAGTGGGGGGAGCAACAACAAGGGAGGACAGAGGGGGTAACGGGAGAAGGGAGGACGAGACGAGTGGCAACGAAGCAACATAGGGTGAGAGCGCGAGACAGGGGAGACAGGTCGAGCACGGGAGGGGCGGCGAGACCAGACATGAGACGGAGGAGTCGGGTCAGGAGACAGAGGAGGGGACACAGGAGGGGAACTAGTGGGGAAAATGGCCAGAGACGAGTCCGGAGGAGGGAACACAGGGCCGTAGACAGGAGGAGGAGGAGGCATGGGCATGGGGTCAGGGGACGGAAGGCCGAGCAGACGAAGAGCGGACACCGGCGGGGACTGCTGCAGCAGCGGTGTGACACCGACACCGGGACCGCAAGCGGCCTGGCAGCTACCTTCAGAATTCTCCACA